CTTTCGCATTTGCAGAATTGGACGTGTGGAAGGTATTCCATAAAAGTGTATAACTTGTGATGTGACTTGATATGCCTAAAAATAATTCCTGTGATAGGTCTTGATAAAATGTGAGTTCATGCATAATTCAATCATGGAGTGGGCGTTACCCGTTTATATAAATTATCTTGTTTATATTACAGGTTAATGTAGGATCTCGAACATAAACCAATGATGTTGTGGGTTATGTTGAGTAAATAGGCATCAATCAATGTATTACTAAAAATATAAAAAAACGAGATTGGTTTATTGTTGAATGTGGTCAATTCCTTTACTCGTCTTCATAGGGGAAACTGTGTTCTGTTGAAAGAAGTGGATTTTTGCGATGATTTGGTGATGGGTCGTTTTGGATCCATTACTATGAGTTCTGTGGCTCATACACGGACTTGGGTGTTATGCATCTGAAATTTATGTGATTGCAGTTGATGGTCTTGGTCTTTTAGGGAATGCTGGATATAATTTAAGTAGAATCATTATTGTCTTGATTGACGCAGTGGTTTGCTTTTCCGTGTTTCAATGAGGACTATTTTGTGATTATTTGATTAATGAGCAGTTAAAATGCTGGACTGGGGTGAAGAGGGGCACCGGACAGAGGCTGAAATTAATGCACTCAGGTCGGCATTTACGCAAGAAGTTGCTGTTTGGCATAAACTTCAACATCCTAATGTCACAAAGGTGAATTTCCTTTCTTCAGCTTCAAATTTTCTCTTCCTGTTGTTGTATAGTTTGAGTTATAATTTTGCATGTAATCTGTAAGTTTTTGGGTGTTGATAATTTCATTTTCAGGAGGTTTAAAGTCCTCTGTCCTATATAATGTCTATGCCAACCTGCATTTGGTTTAATACTTCAAGTCTATCGATGTTTAGGTCTTTTTCCTTAATAGTTTAGGATTCCAGCCTATGTAGCTTTCAGGGATTTCATTAATAAATTTTGTCACTATCTTCCCCGCACCTCCCTGCTTTCCCTTGACTTATGTTCAACTTGAATTTGTTAGAAATTGTGTTATAAGATTCTTTTTTGTTATGGCGGGCCTTTTTATAATACTTTGATCTTCTAGCAAATTGTTTTATAAGAGCATGATGTATGCAGGTTTCCCGCTGTAATAATATTCCAGATCTTTTTATTAGTTGATTAGTGAAAATTCTAGTATATTTAGGAAATACTACAAGTAGTTCTTGCTATTTTGAAGTTTAGTCACCATATATGAGCTTGCCCATCCTACATTTTTATTCTCCTCCTATTCTTTATGCCAATAATCAAATTTGTTTATTTGGACGTTAGAATAATTTAAAGATAATGGTGTGTGTGGGGTGAGAGTGTTAGGAGATGCAAGTTGAAATTGTTGGTATGAGATTGTTGAGAATCTTATCAGAAATATTATTTGCAATGCTTGCATATAACAAGACCATATTAACAAGGTCCGGAGCTCATGTTCCTTATCTTTTAGATGTTAAAAAAATTTAAAAAGCAATTTTGAAGATAATTATGTCGGCCATATCCTATATAATAAATGTCGGGTTATTATAATTCAAACTTCTATCACTTTAAACCAATTAGATAGATACCGACAGTAAGTGATAACAGATGTGGTTTTGCTCTATTGACGTTCAATATATATTCAATTGCAACTTAAATTTTTTTTTTTTTCCATTTGATTGCAATAAAATATGATTGGAATGTCAATAGAGCAAAACCATACCTATCACTTTAAACCAATTAGATACTGCCTGAGAGGCTTTTGGTACTGGAGGATTGAAATGAATGTGAATAGATATTTCCCATTTGTTTCTGCATCTGTATTTATGTTGAGTAAAGCTTGTAAATAAATTAACAAGCCTAACAACATTTTTTTTTTAAAATCTACTCATCATGAAAGCTTCTAGTTTCCATGTTTATTCATTTTTGGCTAATCTGTTCTTTGGAGTGTGTCTATTGCCATTTTCTCCTCTTATTGGGCTTTTTCCTTTTCTTTTGACTGCTAGAAAGGATATTCAATATCTTCATGCAACAATTAATGTGTCCTGGTCTTTGTCCTACTACTTTCTAGGACCAAAGATCGTGTAAATATTGAGAAGAAGGCTAACCATAATGCTCCTCCCTACTCCTTTCTTCATAATATTTTCTCTTTCCTGTTCTATCTTGTGACATTGTTTCTTAATCCCTACTCCCCCTTTTCAAAGAGCATTATACATTTTTCTGTGAGTGATTTTCTTTCCTAGTTCCTCAAAAATATTTTCTTTCTTGTTTAGTTTATAGGGGCGACAATGGGGTCTTCAGAATTACAGATACAGACTGACAATGGTCTAATTAGCATGCCAAGCAATATCTGCTGTGTAGTTGTAGAGTATCTTGCTGGAGGTACGCTGAAATCTTTCCTAATAAAGAATAGGAGGAGGAAGTTAGCTTTTAAGGTTGTCATCCAGCTGGCACTTGATCTTGCAAGAGGGTATTTATCTTTTCTATAATTTTAACTCAATGTAATTGTGGTACAGCAGGATAAGACCTAAGACTGTCTTGTTATTTGTTTTAGATAACCCCTCAAATTGAATTCACTTGGTTTTGCAGGCTGAGTTATCTTCACTCTCAGAAGGTTGTCCACAGAGATGTAAAGACAGAGAACATGCTGTTGGATAAGACGCGCACTGTTAAAATTGCTGATTTTGGGGTTGCTCGTGTTGAAGCGTCAAATCCTAATGACATGACTGGGGAGACTGGTACCCTTGGTTACATGGCTCCTGAGGTGTGTACTAGTTCCCCCGAAACTTTTACCACTATGTAGAATTTCTTGTGCTAGGATATATATCAGAGTGGAAGCATTAGTGCAGTGTCCAAAACTCACTTGATCTAAATTCTAATCCGAAATGGGAATATTCAGTCCCCATGTGTTATCTGAGTGGGGATTTAATTTTTCTTTCTTCAGCTTCATTCATAACTTGCATTCTTCGATAAGTATAAATGGGTGTCCTTAATAACGCAGAAAACAGTGTGCCAATAAGAAAAGAAAAAGGTCATATAATAGTATTTAATTTGATCAAAGACAAAGCTTATGTAATTGTCTATTCCCTCATTTGACAAAGGGGTGGTGGTTTACAGGTTCTGAATGGCAACCCCTATAACAGGAAATGTGATGTGTACAGTTTTGGCATCTGTTTGTGGGAAATATATTGTTGTGACATGCCATATCCTGACTTAAGTTTCTCAGAGATTACTTCAGCTGTTGTTCGCCAGGTATATCTACTTCAGATTTTGATTCTTTCATTTGTGAAGTGTGTTTCTCGTCACCATAGATTCTGCTTTAAAGATGAAACCATGATTTTGATTGTTATTTTGTGTTTGAAATATTAGAATCTGAGACCAGAAATACCAAGATGTTGCCCAAGTTCTCTGGCAAATGTAATGAAGAAGTGCTGGGATGCCAATCCCGATAAACGGCCGGAAATGGACGAGGTAGTTTCATTGCTGGAAGCTATTGACACATCCAAAGGTGGAGGTATGATCCCTGTGGATCAGCAGCAGGGTTGTTTTTGCTTCCGTAAGCACAGAGGACCTTGATCCTTAGTGCAACAAACGATTATGATTTTTAGCTATTCAAAGAATCAATATGTATCTATGGTAAGAAAACTGAATTTGGAAGACAGGTAAGAGGAATATACAATAGAGGGTATAGGAAGGAGAAGCTGGTAACGTGTCAATTCTTATGTAAATCCATAACTCTTGTTTTCTTTTATTCTTCTTTTTTATTTGGGTTTTGTGGGTATGAATGCTACTTTCAGCTTGGCAATGTTGCTGGACTGGCCTTATAACCTTACAAGATCTTCATTATACTTTGTAGTCTTGATTGATGTGATTAAATTGGATCTATTTGCTACATATCTGTCTGTTTCAGTAGTTTGCTTGAAAACTCGTAGTAATATTTTACAAAATTGTGGCGTATGTAGTGTGGTATACTTAGAGTGGACAATAGGGAATGGAGTGAAGATGGGAACTTTAATATGCTTTTAAAGATGAAAAAGTAATCTTTTTTATAGAATGTTAGTCTTGTAGAAATAGGTTCAGTTCATAATGTTTAGAATACTAGTTCATTAATTATTGTATAAGTTCATTACTATTTTTTAGATTCTTTGTCATTTATTCCTGTACGTCTTCTTTGTACCTTTATGACAGAGTTTCAGTATAAATATGATATCAGAAGTTAAGTAATTTCCACTAAACCACTTATCCAAATTAAGATCTTTCCAATAATCCTTCTATTTCACATGGTAACTATAGCCTTATAATTTTTCCCCCCTTCAATTTTCATTTCTTATTTACTCTCTTTTCATAACTTCCCTTCTCAAATTCATCCTGTACTGCGACATTTTTCTGGCCACCAACCGGAGCTCCAAGGAGCTGCTAAGCATAACCACCTATTTTGGCGAAATCATCAATTCTCTTACACGTGAGTGCATCTAGCATAATTTTCAATCACCGCTTACTATAGTACATTTTCATTGTTTTTGGGTAGTATTAGATCCTTAAATGGTCTCTTTAACCACTTACCATGTTTGAGACTCCTTCCACCTTTCAGGCTCTCTGATCATCATTATAGAGATCGCTCAATCGTGAAAATTATGTTCAATGGATCAGTCGGATTTAGCATAACAATCCTGATCCATCGCAAACCGAACCCTTTCATTTTTTTTGGAATTTATATTTTCCTACATCCTTTAACTGCATTTGATATATATTAAAGTACAATAGAAAGAGAAAAGTACATGACAAACGATTCAATTATTGTACAACTTTTTTATATTAGTTATCTTTATAAATTCTTATTAATTATCTTAATGGAGGTGATATGGTCAGGCCGGTCTTGAGAGTAGTTTAAGGGTGCAACTGTTAAGATCTCATAACCAAGGGGGTTCAAATTTAAAAAAAAAATAAATATATATATATATATATATATATATATAATTGTGTAATAATTTTTATATTATTTTTAAAAATAAATTGAAATTATTATCTCTAATATATATATTTTGTATCTAAATATAAAAATGTGACATAATTATAAAATTTTATTATTTTTATCATTTATTTTTCTATATATTACATTATAAATGAGTGAAATATATTTTTGGTACTTTTAAAATTTTTTAAGTTTGATTTTAGTCTTTCAAAAAACAAATTTATCCTCTCACACTATTTAATTGTTAACTACTCACACAAATTTAACATTAATTATTTTTATTATTTATTTTATTTTTATATTTTACATAAAATTCATAAAGGCATGAAGTATTATTTTATGCTAGTTTACATAATGAGGATTGTTAAAATATAAAAATATAGTAAAAGTGTATTAAATATAAAATTATTCTTTATTTTTTTCTTTCAAAACCGATTATATAAGTAGTTTTAAAAATATAACCAGTTATATAACTAGTTATTAAAAATATAAAATTGACTATTCTAAATCATAATCAATTATTAAAAATTATGATTATGATTAAGTTATAATAACTACTTATAGATATTATAAAATGATGATGGTTAGATTATTTAAATAACTTAAGCATGAGCAACCCTAGTTATCTTAAATCCAATTTAAAAAAGAGCCACCCACCATTGATATATTTACCAAATCTAATAGTGTATTGAGAAAAATTTAAGTCTCACATCAACTATAGAAATAAGACAAAAAAATAATTTCTAAGTGGTGGGTAACCCTCACTTCACAAATTAGTTTTGTAAGATTAAGTTATAAGTTTAAGTTTTAAGTTCATAACTCACTTTCTAAGAACTTTTAAATAAGTCTACTAGTTCAGTTAATAGTTAATTGGTTGTAGTAGCTTGTACATATGAATGACAAATAAATCTGTATTTGTGACTAATATTCGAATCTGTCCCAATTTTAATGAGAAATATTTTATTTAACTGATCACACATAATACCATATTTATTAAAATTGTGCATGGAAGTGGAGACAACTTACTCACCTCATTTTTTGTCCCCACTTTAAATTTTTATAAATTTAATTTACCTTTTTTTTCATAATTTACTTTATATTTATATAATTATTACTCTATTTATATTAGATGAAATTTAATTAATGATATTTTATAATTATTATTCTATATTAATTTTTTTCATATATATAATTTAAAAAAAATATTTAATTAATTTTAAAACAAAGACAAATATATTTATATTCAATGGAAATGAAAATGAAGATACAGAATTCATAACTTTCTATCAAATATAAGAACAAGAATAGATACATATTACAAACTTCAAAACAATAAAGAAGTGATTAAAATCCGTACCCTGTCCATCGACTTACTGTCCCTACTCGTATATGTAACCAAGGCCCTGTATTTTATTTTATTTTTGGTATTGTATGATAAACAAAGTCCCTGTATCAAAATGAGAAATGAAGCACAATTTGTCTTCCCAAATTATGTCTTCATTGGGCAATTTTTCTTTCAACTCAGTTTTGGGCAGTATTTTAAAAATCGGATCGAATTGGCTAGTCAAACCGGTTGGACCGGGAACCGGTAGTCCAGTCAGTCCGAATCTTAAGTTAGATTGGTTATTCAGTCAACTTGTTTTAAATTGGATTGAATCGGTCAATTTTTTGGTTCAACCGGTGAACCGGTGGGTCAAACCGATTCAACCACATTTTTTTTAAGGAATCATAAACCACAAAAATAATAATGAAAATTGAATCTCTTAATAGAAGAGCAAAAAAATCTTATTAAATATAACAATGACTACTTGTTCTAATGTATTTGTTTGTAACATATACAACTTAAATAACTTTTATAGTATATTATTAATTTTAAATTATATATTTAATAATATAATATCTATGTAGATATTACATATATTATTTTGTGATATCACTTGCAAGCATATTATATATGTACATATTATTTATATTTTTTATTTGTATTAATATATAATTTAACATGTAATTTTTTATGTATTTTTTTACAAAATAAAAATAAATTTTTTTAAATAAGATAGAAAAATTGAAATTTAAAATAAGATATGAATTTATTAAAATTTATAAGTATAAAATATATTTAACATGATTTTTTTTAAAAAAATAATAAAAATCGAGTTATGTGGTTCAACTAATAACTTATCGGTTCAACTTTTAACCTACTAACTCAGTACCTTAACCGGTTTGATGACCGGTACAATTTTTAAAATTATGATTTCGATCTCCATCTCCTCGATTTTTTTTTTTTTTTTTACCCTTCCCAATTTATTCGAACTGAAATACATGTTGAATAGGGTTTTGATTCTATCGATGGCACATCAATGACAATGACTCCATTTAACTGGATCTGCTCAATCATAAAAGCAGATAATTTTTCAGCTTTTTGCGTAATTTTTATTAGAATATATATAATAGCCTAACACCAACTAAAACATGTAATGTCGTAATCATATTACAGAATCTATATTTGTCATTATTATTATCTTATCTAGTTCTGTTTTGATTATAGTGAATTTCCATACCTGTTGAATTGGGTCTCGACACGATCGATGACACTTAATTCAAGTTGGAAGCACTCAACCACAAAGGCAAATAACTTTCAGCTCTCTGATCTTGGTATTTTTCCATGTATGCTTACAAATCGTCAAATCCTCTAATTAATTCTTCATCTTCCTTTTATTTTACGACACTAATATATATTTCTTATTTAATATCTTCTGTATTTAAATATGATCTTGTCCGGTTCACAATTAAAAAAAAAAATTATAGAATATTATATTTTATTTAATATATAAACAAATGCGTTGTCATAAAACATGAAAGCAACCAGTAACTTACCGTTGCTACAAGTACAATCTGTGAGTGTTTGACCTGTGTTTTACTTTCTTGTCCTTGAGGAGCAAACAAATTTGATGAGAATCATACACCTCCAAGTTTGAAGGGGAAAAGGGTTTCTTCAGAATATTGCTGTGATGGAGATTGTAATTTCTTTGATCATATTGTTCGCGGGGATTTCTATTTTGGTGGTGATCCATGTCTGCATAGTGGGAAGGGCTTTCAGAGGGGAAAATAATGATGGTCATAACGAAGGTACACAAGGGCAGAACAACAACAGTGGCATGAAAAGAATGTTTGGTGGTGACAACATTGGTGAGCTGAAGAACCTTCCTTGCTTTGATTATGAGGAGGGAGAGAGCCTCGTGGATTGTGCTGTTTGCTTGGAGAATTTCAAGGTTGGTGATGTCTGCAGGTTGTTGCCAAATTGCAGCCACAGCTTCCATGTGCACTGTATTGACTCCTGGATACTCCAAACACCCTTTTGTCCCATTTGTAGAACATGGGTTCATTCACCTGGGATGGAACAAAGTTCTGTTTCTCAAAATGTAGAAATTGAAACTGTGTAGAGCAAATCAAACTATCAAAGATCTCTCTGTGATTAGCTGGATTAGGATTTGTGTCCCAATTTGCCTTTCTGTAATGTTCTTCTGAGGAACATCAGTAAATATTTCTTCAATCAGTAACTTAGGGGATGTAAATCTGCATAACATCACTGTTATTCAATTTCTCATCTGAATATTGTTCTCTCACAGGCAAATTTTTTTGTTTTTTCTTGCGATACCACAGATTGACTTGAAATAACCCAGTACAAGTTGATCTCGTCAATTCTCACATGGAAATTTTAATCTTTTTATATATTAATTATTAGAAGTTAAATGATTCATTTAATCTTTATAGTTTCATAATTTTTATTTTTTCATGTAAATATATATATATATATATATTATTTTTACTTTCAATTTAGTTCTTATCCTCTGTTTATATAGAGGTTTATATAACTATAAGAACTATAAGATAATTAAATTATTATTAGATTATACCACACAATGATTTCAGTGGCAGGCTCAATGTAATTTAAGGCAAAAATTATGGAAAGGGTGACTTTTTTTTCCTTTCTTTTTCTGGTTGGTATGTATGAAATGCTTATCCTTCGAGACAGCTGGGTATCGTGGACAGATTTTCAGCCGAAAGAGTGCGAACTGCCACGACATATTGAATGTTTCTTTGTCTTTTTCGTTCTATCTTGTTGAATGTACACAAGTATTGTTGCAATTTTGTGGTTGTGTTATTGTATTTTGGACAGCATGATGTGGTTCTGGTACTTGAACACTATCTTGAAGTTTTTCGCCATTCCAGATCTACTAACAACATAGATAAATCATTATCTTATCTTTGTCTTAGCTAGCTGTGTAAAGATATAATAATCTCTAATGCTCTTTGCAAATATTCCGTAGAAAATTACAAAATCTTATTCTTATGATTTTTCGACATCACCAACACACTTTGCACAGAAATAAATCATTATCCCGTGACTTTCCTTTGTCTTTGTCAACTGTATATAGACATAAGATGCTTTTTTTCAACTATTCCATAAGAACTTACAATATTCTGAGATTTCTCTTCCCCACTATGCTTATAGGTAGATAAAGGATTTTATATCTTTGTGGATTTGTATTAGCTAATTGTCACCCATTTATTATAATTTTTTTTAAAGAATAAGCTAACAAGCTATAATTAAAATTATCTTATAATATCATCTATGTGTAATTCAGTAACATACTTATAAAAAAAACGAGTGTATGTTAGTAAATACTTAAAAGATTTGTTAGCATATACGTACTTGCTTTTTTTTTTTTTTAATTTTTTTTTTAATTTTTAAAGGGATATGTTAACCGGTTATAATTAAGTTAAAGTTGGTTTGGAATCCTTTGTAGAATGCATGTTGATAACAAAGGTCGTTGAGGTGGACAATCTACGGTGTGAGTCATGCTTTGATGTCTTTCTTAGATCCAATACTTAAGGTAAATGTCATAAATATAAAATGTAATGTCATGAAAATTTACCCTTTATCATTAACAACTCAAGTCGATTTAGAACAATACTATTTTAAAAATTAAAATATCTCAAACTTTTTTTAAGAAGACTTATTTTCTTATTTCATTTAAATTTAATAAAAAAATTAAATGAGTAATTTACTTATATTATTCAAAAATAAATAAAATTAATTTATATAATATAAATAACCAATATTATTTTACTAAGATCTAATGTTGATTTTGATGGAAGAAAGTCATCTTGATCAAACCAATTATTTTTCTTAATTGGATTGATTTGCTATTATTAAAGTGTTTACGAGGAATTGTGTTTATGAGCTCTTTTTACTCGAACTAGTACAATGTTGTTTCAATTTAGGTATATATAATTAAGCCTTTTAACAGAGACGAAAATAAGATAGAGTGACTAATACGTGCCTGTTTCTAGATATTCATCAATGATTATCAAACAATAACTTTCATGCATGTAGACGCTCAAATAGACTGAGTGAATGATACTTATATTGATAACACAAATCATCATCCAATTCACATAATTGTCGGGTTATCATATAAAATGATTTTAAGAAGATAGTTGTTGGATCGAGCGCTTACCACTAGGCCAAAAGCTATAGCTGATAGTCAGGGCGCAACTCTTTTTACTTAAGAGCGCAGCAGCCCAAGCGCCATGATTCGACAGTGACTTGGCCCACCTAGCCTCCGCCACGGGACAATTGATGCAACCCGCAACAATCTCCCCCTCAGCAATTGCCCCGCTGGGTATCGAACTCATGACCTTGGCTCTGATACCAATTGTTGGATCGAACGCTTACCACTAGGCCAAAAGCTATAGCTGATAGTTAGGGCGCAACTCTTTTTACTTAAGAGCGCAGCAGCCCAAGCGCCATGATTCGACAGTGACTTGGCCCACCTAGTCTCCGCCACGGGACAATTGATGCACCCGCAACAATAGTAAACTACAAACTACACTATACCAAACTAAAAGTCCTAGAAAAAGAAGAAAAATGTGGTACAAAAGACATACCCAACAGTCTCGTGCACAGTGGCCATATGCGCAGGTAATAGGTGCTTATGAGAGTTCTCAAATATGATTTTCTGACCTTTGTGACAGAGTTTGCTTCTCATATTTATAGAGGTAATTGGGAGCGGTTAATCTCGCGTGGGCTCATCGTGGGATGTCATCGTAGGATGCATAACTGCTCTCCACTACAAAACCTGCGTGGCTTAGGTGTAACTTCTTGTAACTGCTCCTCCCACGTGTCTTTATTTTTTCGACACGCTATGTAGTAACCTCCTTGGTATAACTACTCAAACTGCTCGGGAAACCTCTAGTAACCTCCTTATATCTTATAAATTTTGAGTGATCTTCGAATATCTCCCTTTTGTCTCTATCCCGATACCACTTTTTGGTAGGTATCCCTTTGATTACCCTTTTTCGAGTAGATTCCCCAAATATTTTTTCCCGAGTGACCCCAACATAAAGGACTCCATAATAATAGTAGTGCTTGTCAGATTCTCTGGTTTTGGTTGAGTTGTTCTGGTGTGTACCTATCATCACTCATGTATATGCTAGTAAGCTTATTGATATTCGAAACTTGTTGATGTGATACCTTCTATCCCTGATGGCACAACACATAATAAAATATAAAATTGAAAACTTCATATAAATAAAAGAACTCAATCTATACTGGTAGAAAAAATTATATTGGTAACATAAACTAAATTACGAAAATAAAAAATTACAAAGAAATTAAAATTAACTACTCAATTTAAATAACATGAATCAATTCGTAACTAGTTTTAACTATACTCCTTAATGTCACATGTCCTGATAGAGTGGCCTAACAATGAGGATTATACATCATCACCAACATCATCAACACTATGTTGATGATCACCTATAACAACCACAAGAAAACAACACAAAAGAAAAGGAAGTGAAAAATATCTCACTCTTATTCACGATGCAAGAATGCAAACCGACTAGCCAAACACAAACAACATATATAATAAGAAATAGCATACATAATTACACATTATCATCATATTTAGTTCATTCATAGAATAATAAATAACAATAGATACGATTATAACACCACAAGAAATTCGTCATTTTGCGTCCGTTTTCGTCCCCCTCAAAATAAGTAATGACATTTTATAAAAACGTCATAGTTACGTTCGCCACAAGCATTATATGACAGTTTTTACCAACCTCCGCTACCTTTTTCATTCTGTGGCGTTTTGTTTAAAGGGGGGGGGGGTTTGACATCCTCTATTTGCAGAGTTTTTTTTGGTCAATTGCGGGGTTTATGTAGCTAGCATCCAAAATTTTCTAATTAAGGGGGTTTAAACAAAATTTTGCCAAACACAAACCCTGCTACAACAATTGCCAAACACTCTCTCTTTAATAGCTAAAATTGTAGAAAAAGAAATTAATTTAAAGATTTCATTAAAGTTATTCAACAAGAATAACATTCATACAAGAATCCAATCAATTTAAAGATTTCGTTAAAGTTATTAGGGATCCTCACCTTTTATGATACTTCCCTTGCAGTGCTCACAATGTACTCAAACTCCTTTCACTATTTGTGAGACAGAGGCCGTGACCACTTTTTAGATATATATCTTTGTGTTGATGTTACCGTGAAACTAAAAGCTAAATTTTTTTTAGGTAAATTGATAATGACAATACTGCATGCAATTATCATAAGGCATGACACAATGTTAAGAAAGGAAGAGGAAACAACCACAACATTGAATCATACTTGAAATGATAGAAGCGAAGGTGAGAAAAAGGGTTGAGCAGCTAGCCACAATTGTCTTTGGAAATGCGAAAAGGTGGGAGATTGGCCCTAACGTCTTCATCTAGGGAGGCGAAGGGGAGAAGGTGGGAGGAGCGATGCACGCAGATGGGAAGAGCAGTGCACGCGGATGGGAGGAGCAAAGTGAGTAAGAGGAAAACATGGTAAAAATTGAAGGAGGGATTGGGTGGAAAAAATGTGGGGGAAAAGTAAAAGAGGGAAAGTGGTGAAAATTTTTAAGGGAAAAATGTATATGAATTTGGGAGGGCATAAACCTCCTCAAAAAATGATAAAAACCGCCATCATTTTCACAATTTTACGTGTTCCTCAAACACGCCACAAGTCATATTAATTTGAGGGTTTTTTTTAAACGTTTGTAAAATAACCCCACTAAATAACAGTTTTTGTAGTGTAATGTTTATACAATGGACACAGACTACATGTTATTATGCATGTGATGCTAGTAAAACATTACATTTGTGCATTGCTACTAGCATTACACTAGAGTAATATAGGAGTACATGTCGGTTCACACCCTTTGTGCACTCTCACTAAAAGGATATACTGTTAGGGTTTGATCGAGATAGCTAAGTCATACAAGATACATCTCATGCTCACTAAAAGGACATACTACTAGGTTCCCAAGTTTTTACACAAGGGACCTTTTCTGATGGTGTATTCCATATCGTACCCCTACAAAAATATTTTTTA